TGTTAGTAGTAAAATTTTCTAACCGCCCACCGGTTCCACGGTAATGGTGATTTATAAAGTAGGGAAGTAACTTTAGTTTATAAAATTTATAAGGCAGAGTGACAGCAAACCCCCACCGCCCACCATGAAAGCTGGAACGCCCACTAGTGGGCAGTAGGGACCAGGTTGACTACCACTGGAATAGATGAAGCTTTTTATCTCTTAAGCTTTCCTCTCCTTTTTTTCTTTTTTACATTGGTAGTAATCCAGCCGCTTCTTCTGAATGTTGTATTTGGCACTACACTTATGAGTAAAGAAAAGCCCAAGAAATATTTATTACCGTAGCCACACAATACTGAGTAAACACAGCTAGGCATAGAGTGGCTAAACCTTGTTCTGCAAAGACTTCCCTAGAATGGCAAGAACTTCTCGGTGGGTCTTTAAAGTCAAACTGGCTTTAAGTGTGAAAGTCCCCTGGGAATTCCCTTGATTCAGCCCAATTTATGGGGAGCAGGGAGGGAGGGAACATCAACCTGCGAACGGAAGTGGTGCTGAGACGAAGCAGTAAATAAAAATCCCGGGGCTGCCATTAAGGTGGAAAGGCGTTCTGACAGTAACCCAGCTACACAACCCTTATTGTGGTTAATCAAGAGATGATCTGCTGCAGGGTGCCTTTAATAAAACACTAACTATATACTAATGCAAGAGATCTTTGCTTCTTACTGTCTTCTGTCTTGTCTGGCTGTTATTTTCATGCAGTGCTGAAGACGGTGCCCTTTACTGCCCGAACGGCCAAGCGTGGCTCTCGGTTTTTCTGCGAACCTGTTCTCACAGAGGAATTCCATTACTAAACTATTCCTCTTTCACAGCTGATCCTCTTAAAAAAATAAAAGGTTGCTGTAGGTTTTTTGACATTTCTCCACTTTACCGCAATGGGGGTGTTGAATGGGGTTTTGTGACGTCCATCATCCCTGTGGAATCACGTTTTACATGATCCTCTCCTTGACCATCAATCTCCTTGCACGTTCCTGTCTGCCAGTCATGGTTTGCTTCCTTCCATCCACACCATGTGAAAGCTTGTTCCACCCCATCCATTTCAGGGGTCTACATCAGGGGTATCCAATGCTGGCAACTTTAAGGCTTGTGGACTTCGGCTCCCAGAATTCCCCAGTATGGCTGGTTGGGGAATTCTGGGAGTTGAAGTCCACAAGTCTTAAAGCTGCCAACGTTGGACACTACTGGTCTAGTTATAACTGCCACAGAGCAGCCAATATGGGAAATTAATGAATGTCAGTAAGACCAGCAACAGCTGTGGTTCCAGCCACTCCACTCAATTTACAGGCGACTGTTGAGGGATGTAGCGATAATCATGACAGACGATTCCATTTGGTTTTTTTGTATGCTATTCTACTTTGGGTTCTTTTTGATCTTAGCAGATTAATCACTGTTGCGTAAGTCTTGGTATTAAGCCTATATCTGGAAATAAGCTATGTTTGTATGAGAAGTTAGAAGTGTGCAGTATTTGGATCTGAAGTGGGCAGAGATGCTTCAGATCTAGTAGGAGTTCCCTCAATGTATCTGTGTCTTTTCTGGAGCTTACACGGCATCTGCTCTAAGGGCCAGGAAAATAGGAAATTTAGGGCTTGTTCATGGGGTACCTGTTTCTCAGTAGTTTCCTAACTCTTGATGGCTTTCTTGGGAGCTCAAGAAAAGTTAGTTACTGCAAGGTGCCCACACTGATTCAGAATCACTGTAGCCCCCTTTGGAGACAAATGCTGTGCACTTCTAAAGAAAAGTTAAATTTTGGGACGGGGGTGGGGTGGGACTTGGGTTTGTGATCTGCAAAAGAATTTTTTCATATTTGTCATTCTACTCACTGCTTGCATGTTGGTGTTTGCATGTTGAAATCTTTTCCCTCCCTCCATTTTTATCCCGTGAGATCCATAGCTGTGCTAGTTTCAGTTCCATGCCAACGTAATTGACAACCTCCCTAGGTCTATGAATACCACCTTTAAGAAAACACAGTGGCTGTTTGGGATTTGATAATTGGGGAGATTGAAAATCCAAACCTAAAATCTAAATCCCCCAATTGCAAGTGGCCAGGTTATCCCCAATTGCAAGTGGCCTTGAGTTTTGAGCTAAGAAGTGAGAAGATCTATGTGAACGTTAAAAGTTTCTTTTAAGGAGAAAGTCAAAGACCATTCTGCTTGAAAAAGCACAGCTGGTGACAACATCTCTCAAATTGTCTCTGGATAACAAATATCCCAAGCTGATTGCCATGGAACTGGAGGCATTGAAATCTTTTGATGTAAACTGTTATAAAGTGGAGGTTGAATGAATCTGTTAATGTTCTTGCCCTTAATATAAAGACAGAAGGTCCAAATCCTGCTTGCTCTTTCCAATGAAAATGTTGCCTGGTCATTCTGGAGCCAATGTTCAAAGCAGCTTGGAGTTTAATTGGCTAATGGTTAGGGTGGCCTGTTTATTTTTTCTCTGTTTAATCTTCTTTACTTTTTGGCTTCATTCATTCTTGCTTTTTTTCCCTAACATGCTGGACCATTAAAGTAGGGTGTGGTTTTTGGTTTGGTTTTGCTTTGCTTTGCTTTGGGGCACTGAATTGAGTTGCTCTCATGTTCCATCCCATTTTAAACTTTAACCTTCATTCTGTGTTTTTTTTTCTTGTTTAGCCTTAAAGAAGAATAATATCACTAAATTTCCAAATGTTCACTCGAGGGTAAGGATTTCTTCTAGCACACCGGTGGTGGAGGATACACAGAGCTGGCAAGCATTACTTTTTATTTAGCTTCCTCCTCTCTCTGAATGCCACACAAAATTGCTGCACGATAGATCCTAGGTACAGAAAGGAGCTGTGTCCAATTAAGGCCTAGGAGCATTGCTGGACCATTTGGCTCTTCTACCATTTGCCTGTGTCATATGAGGGGTTTCTTCACTCGTAGCCCTGATCTCTCTCGCCTTTCTGCCTTGCTTTCAAAAAAGAGAGGTGCTTTGCCTGTGCTTTATGTCTTGACCTATATTAGGGGCAGAGGGAGGGAAGAGCGGCCTAAAGGAAGGCAGCCAACTTTCTCCCAGATCCCAGCAGCTGGGTTGGTCTTATAGAGGAAGGCTATTTTTTTTTTTAAATAGCAGAACTCTTGCTTTACAAAATGCTCCATGGGCAAAATGCTTCTTCAGAGCTGAAGAATCTTCTTGGATGAGATGCGAAACATCTTCAGAGAAAAACAAGAAAGGCCAGTTGCCTCTTGAAAAAGCACTTTTGGGACCTCCATAGGGATAGTTGTGACATGATAACACCAGATTGGGTGAAGGACTTTTCAAGAGCATGTTAACGGCTTAAGTGCCACCAAAATAAACTTCCTCTATCCCCCTAATCTGATCTGAAGCTCTATGGATTTTTGAGAACTCAAGAAGGTATTGGAACCCACACAACGGGGAACAGGAACTGCATGCCTCAAATGCCCATCTCTCCCCAAGGGAATCCCAGTGTATAGAGGTTAAATGTTGGGATAAGCATTAAGTAGTGGGTGGGGTGGAAAAGCCCCTACCCCTTTACAACATTTGCAGATCAGGTTGTGGCTGTTTGTCTAACATGCACGACCACCAAGGGCAGAGGAAATGCTACTGTGCAATAAAAAAATGTATGAAATATTTTAGGGACAGAAATTCACCTACAGACATTGATTTGTGATCAATTATCATTGATTTGTGATCCTCCTCTGCTTAGGCCAGCAAGTAAAATGGGCTGGCAATAAACCATTCTCTTGATCTTTGGGGGAGGCTTTGTGATTGTCACCAATTGAATGCCTCTCCCATAGAACTTGTCCGCTCCTTCTGAATCCCCTCACCCAAGACTGAGGCATTATGACATTCTTGCTGTTTCAGTTTGTAGGTTCAGTTACAGTGGGGGCTCTCAAGAGCTGAGCAAAATATATGAAAGCCGATTTCTAAGATTGAAGCGTAGAAAAGGCAGCCAAGTGACAAAAAGACCAAAGTCAGCGTTCTGTAGGAAACAGTGCTTTCCCCCCACTCAAAATGTACCGAAATGCATGCTTCTCTTCCATCTTGGACTTAAGAATCCAGAGGAGCAGATACCAGAGAATAGGCTTTTATATACGCAAGCAGTTCTTATGTGTGTAGAAAAAAATTATTAGGAAACCGTATTGATGGAAGATAAAAGCTTGGTTTGCTTCAGTTGTGAACGGTCTGAGAAGACCTTGGTTTTGGGGTTATTAATCATATTAGGTCAGGATGAGCCCCTGATTCAGGCAGTGCTGTAGTAGAAAGAAAACTCCAGTCAGCCCTACTCCTGCACTTTGTTAAGAACAGGACCCAGTTCTACCTGTGAGGTGGCTGTCGCAATCTATACCACTTTTCAGCAGGTGACAATTTCTTCCAGACACCAGAAAATAAGCAGGGCCTGGACTGGATAGTTCTGAGCTCAAAGACCATCAGGAAGAACAGGGTTGTAGGCTAGACTGAGAGGTCAGAAGACATTCTGGCAGAAGGCACTTGGCAGGTTGTAAGTTACCACTAAAACTGCCAAGTGACATCCATGAAGTCACTAGGAATCTCATTCTCTTTGCCCACCTAAAACTCAATGTTGCCTATCGCTTTTGTAGCTCTGAAGAAGCATAAATCTGATGCTCCAGGTTTGCCCTAAACTCATGGCCTGAGGGCCCTCTACTAAATTCCCACTCCTCTTCCTTAGCCTGAGATAAGATGTATTAGCAAGTCACTTGAATTCAACATAATGTCCTTTTTCAGCAGAAGGTTCACTACCGGATCCCTTGGGGCACAGGGAGGAAGTAAAAATGGCAAGCCGTCACTTTGACCAGCTGCTAGATTACCTTTTTGTGCTCTTAATAATCTGGTCAGGAAGCACAAGAAGCTTTGCTAGCCTCTGGTTTTTATTTTTTATTCCTTTGCTTCTTTTGTCAGCTCAGCTGGTAGAATCGGGAATGGCAGATCAAATTTAGCTGGGAAATTTGATGTACCTTGGAAAGATAGGACATACAGACGAGAGGATCTTTGGGATAAGGAGGAGAGAGAGAGAGAGAGAGAGAGAGAGAGAGAGAGAAAGAGAGAAAGAGAAAGAGAAAGAGAAAGAGAAAGAGTAGTGCTCGTTTGTCACTTTAGTTTCTGCTGT